GTTAGACGTCTACGTCAAAACGTGCATGAAATCTTGGTACAAATGGTAGAGATTATGGGCCTAATAACTTGTAACAAGTGTTCTTTGCACATATATTTCGATGGTGGGCAACACAGAAAGGACCGTGGACTTAAAGTCAGAAAAAGGAGAAAGTCAGTCGATTTAATTTTGTTTTTTGTGGCGTTAGGAGAGTCTTAGTTTCTAGGTCATGTACTAGAGACAAGAAAATTAACTATTTTAGTGGTATTCTAACACATAAACCATCATCAAACTGTTTCCTAAATGCTCAACTACCGTTTCCCAAACAGGCAAGAACGAAACAGCAACTGATAACTCTTCCCAGTTGGTAACCCCTCCTAAAGTGATCGATTTGCCTCTTCCCGTTTAGGAGCTCTTCCTCCATCTCCGATAAAGCGAGCGCGGCTAGAGGGGGGCATGAACTGGCTCCCAGAATAGCCGCCGGGCAGCGCGGGAGGCGGGGCGGACACAGGCTTCGGGGCTCCCCCCGAGACACCTGCTCCGCCCGGCTCGCAGAGAGGCGGGAGCTGACGGAGCTGGTCCGTGGCACGCTCGCCCCCGGGAACACGACCCGGCCCCGGGGTGTGGGGACCCGCCAGCACAGGGGCGGAGGAGCACCCACAGATGGGTAGCTAGGGCGCCTTCCCCCGACTGTCCGTCCCGGAAGGGGCAGGAGAGAACGCAGCGGGGAACCTTCGGCCTCGGGGAAGCTCCCAGGGAGAGAAAGGGAAAGAGAAGCGCCCGGCGAGAACCACGGCCCCCGGAGCCCCGGCTCACCGTAAACCGCGTCCGCGCCTCGGGCAAACTGAAAAGCGCCGGCGTCGGAGACATCTTCTCGGCTGCGCGTGCCCACCCCCGAGCCGCGGCGCCGGGGGATGACGTCAGACCGGGAGCAACGAGACGGCCGAGCGCGGCCAGAGCGGCCCGTGAGCGGAGGGGCTGGTCGGCCAGCGGTGGGCGTCGCCGGTGCAGGACTCCGGTGTGGGCGGGCTCGGGGCGACGCCGCCTCGCGAGTCTCGCTCTGTGGGCTCCGCCCTGGGCGCACACGGGCGGGCGGCTTTCCCGGCGGGGCAGTGGCGGGCAGTGGCGGCCTGGTGCGGGCGGCTTTCCTGGCGGGGGTTGGCGGCCTAGACCTCTCTAGGTAAACCAGGCTGGCCTTGAGCTCAGAGATCCGCCTGTCTGCCTCCCAGTTGCTGGGATTACAGGGTCGGTCCACGATGTCTGGCTTACTGATATCTTCTCTGGAACCAAATTCACTGCACTACAGGAACACCTAGAGGAATGCCGGAGCTGCTGCTTGGAAAACGAGTTCCAGGCACTGCCTCCAGGTTGTTGTACCGTGTAAAACCGGTGGTCGTTACCTCCCTCCTATGCCCCTTTTCCTGGAGAGGTTTGGCCAGTGAGAAGCTCCGTGACAATAGTTAAACTGCGGAAAAATAATCAGTGCTGGCTTAAAGACAAGAGAGTTTTCACGGCTGTAAGAATACAAGAATAAAGAATAAGAATAAAGAAAAGTTGACTGCAGGATCTTGCCCCGAAGTGGAAATAGTGAATAATAATGATACTTGAATAGTTGCAGTTGTTTGGTTGTTTGTTTGTTTTTAAGCCAACAGACCATTGACGTTTGATTACACAAAGACGAAATTGGGAAAATTATTAATTTGGGAATATATTTTATTGATCTATGATAACTGAAGCAATAGGATTATCATTTTCCACAGGTGATTAATAGCCAGCTAGAAGACTAGACCTAAGCTGTAAATACAAAAGTCTGAACAGAAGAGATGGAGTTAAGTGACTTGTCCATAAAAGTCCGTTAGAGTTCCATTTGTTTATTCAATAAGCATTTATTGTGCCCTCTGAATATAGGCATTGTTAGAAGCAAGACAGCTTCAGCCTGTCTTAGATCTCTACTGGTTTCCCTGCCCTGATTTTGCAGCCTCTTGGCACCACATCAGCTATCTTGGATAATCTTCAGATCTCCATATTTTATATTTTGTAGGTTCAGAGTTCTAGGTGGGAGTCACTTCCAGATCTTGGGCTCTGTGTTCTGGGGCCTTTATCCTCATTTCTTGTTTCCTTTAAGCTTATGTAGAAGAATCACATAGCTCTATTTCAGTATTTCTCTCCTAAGAGAGGGATTTTGATTTCAAACAGCCAGCAGGATAATTTACTGGTCATTTGTACCTTGTTACCTCAAGGGTCATGATGAATATTGAAGTTACTCATCTTCCCTACTGCTTGGAGGATGCCCATCTATGGAAAAAATGGGATAAAAATGGTATCAACACATGAAATAGTTGAAAGATGGTCTGAGAAAATGAAAAAAGAGGGGGGTGTAGGATGTTAAATGGGGAGGAGAGGTGGATTGCAGCAGTTTGAACTCTGAATTATTTCATGTCTAATTGCAGCTCTAAGTTACATGAACCCGTAAATCTCTCCATAAGAGCTTAATGCTATTCAAGAGTTAGACTCATTAATTTGCTCTCAGTCTCATCTGATTACTGCAAGAACTGAAGGACAGTTCGTTTGTAACTATGTGGCTTATTAATTTTCTTTTCCTTTTTCAAACCCAAAATTAATTTGGGCCACAAAAGTCCCGAATGGGTCAACTGATGACCCAGGGTCCCCCGAGCCTAATGAAGTTTGTAGCTGAATTTGCAGTTAAGCCGTCTTTGTAGATCTTCTGAGCGCACAGGGAAGAAGTGGATATGCTTCTCGGGGGAGAAGCCTGCACGGAGCACATGAGGATGTGAAGATGGAGCTTTTTATCCCTGTGCTGGCCGGGAAGAGGTACAGCGAGAGTCCTTCCCAGTGTTGCGTTAGGAATGGCTCTAAATGATGTCAGCAAAGCAGCTGCACAGAGAAAAGGACTGTTACCTTAGCCTGAGTTAGCACTGAACTCTGAATCCTTCATTCAGTCTCCAATGTCGATGGGCAATGGAACTGGGGAAAATGAAACAGGAAAAGCCAATGCATAAGGTGTGTTTTAGGGTTGGTCAATTGAATTAGGTTTTTCTTCTAGCTGTAACAAAAATGCCTGACAGGACCAATATCAGAGAAGAGATTTATTTTGTGTCACGGTCCAGAAGGTAGCAGTCTGCTGTGTGGCTGCAGGGGGCTGATGGTGGAAGCAGGAGCTAAAGCACAGCTGGCACCTTGGCAGCCCAGTAAGCATAGAACACAACAGGAGTGGGGCTGGCCTTAGCCCTTAGTGGTCCGCCCCTAGTGGCCTAAAGCCAAAAGCTAGGCCCCATGTCCCAAGGTTCCACAGTCCCCCAGAGCGGTGCTACCATTTGAGGACTGGTGTGCAAACACCTGAGCTTGTGGGGACATTTGCATTCAAACCATAGGAGTCACGTGTATGGGGGACTGGAATTCGATTTTACGGAGCCCTTTTGAGACGCTGTGTGTGATAAAGCATAACATGACCTGTCCAGTGGAAAGATGCCGCTCCTAGAAGAACAAATTATGATAACAGATGGACCTGGCACTGCAACTCATGTCCATAGAGTGTGAGCTTAGCACTGGCGAAGCTCGGGTTTGATTGCTATATAGTGAGTTCTAGGCCAGCCTGGGCTATGAGAGACCCTATCTCAGAAAACAAAGTAGGCAAAAATAAATTATGCCAATAGAAACAAAGTCATGTGTCAGAACATGGATAGATCTAGCTTAATATTTACATGGCTTGGGAAATTTAGTGTTTTAAGAACATTTCAAGGTTATGCAGGATGTGATGATGTGTGCTTATAACTCATGTGTTGTATAACTTATAACTCATGTGATGATGTATTGTAGAAAACTGGGATATTAATATTTACTCTTAATCCATAGATGTCTATGGCAGTTAATTATTTAGCCTGCTATCATATCAATAAGACACAGACACCTGTTAGATTTTTAATATACCTACACATTGGGACGGAAAGAAACGACCCTCCTAAGCTATCCTTATATCTCCCACTCTGCAGCCCATGTCACTTGTTTTAATTCATTGCCATCTGGGCTACTTCCCATCCCAAATTCTCATGAATGCTTGCACATGCTTGTCATCTGGGCTGCTGTTTGCTATCCCTCTGCAGTCATTCCATATTTTTAGCTGTGTATTCCTTCATCACTCCATGTGAGAATGGTTATGTCACTTTGAATAAGGCTGGAAATGTTTGTGATACACCTAAATTCATCTACAGCTTCTAGTTTTGGTAGTGTTTCTTGGTCCACGAACTACAGCCCTTTGCAATCTCTTAGTATCATTGGCATCTGACAGCTATAGCCAGAGCTGGCCCCGCTAGAGACGTGTCCTTCGTGCCATAAGTTCCCCATCTTCCAACATGCCGGTTCTTGGTGGGGAGATGTGGCCACGAAGCTTGAGTGTCGGGCCCCCAGTTAGGAACAGAGTGACAGCTAAGTGTCGTTAGCTATGGGGTCCTAGATGCTTAACAGCGTCTGCCAGGAGAACGTTGTCATGGGTCAAGAAGGTTCATGTAGTACTGTAGTCAGATCTCGAAAAATATAGGAATATTAAAACCAAAAAAATGTCAGAAATGAAACAAAGGTGACATGAGAAATAGAAACTGAGTCTCCTCACAGCCTTAGACTCATTCAAATCAGAAATTACATTAAAACCAAACCATGGAATAATAAAATTAGTAGAACATAAGTAGATGCACTATGTGGCTCTTGAGGTTGCGTAACAAAAAATGATTTGCTGTGCAAGCCTGACAACCCGAGTTCAGTCCCAGAACTCAGGGTGGAAGTTTTCTTTGACCTTGTGCATGGTGGCCTGCCTGCACCTGAACATACCCATACTAGTAAAAATAATAAATACTAAGTAAATGCGATGGAGCTGGATCTCTCCTTGATTTTCACAGGGGCCTGGGGATTGACGTCAGATGGCCAGGCTTGTGTGGCATCTAGATTTTCCTGTTGAGCCTCTCACTAGCCCATCTCTATCACATTTTGATTTCCATAAACCTTTAAAATATTTTCTGCCATTGTGATACAAAATCACCGATTTTTTAAAATAATTTTATTAATGTTGAATTTTAGTCCATAAATTTGTGTCATTGCCCCACAAACCATATACTCTTTAACACAGCAATGTTGAAATTAGGTAAGTAATGACATCTTAAATGTTCAAGGCAGTAGAGGATAACCTCTCTTACTTTAAGGCTTAAATGAAAAGGTAGGAATGACTCAGCCTACTGAGGAAAGCATGCTAAATGTTGAGATTGGCCCGAAGTCCATCTAGACAAGTTATAGATGCAAACGAAAAATTGTTGAAGGGAACAGTATTGTTCCAGGGAACACACATGGTAGAAGGTGAGACAGGGTTATTTGTTGTTGATAGAGACAAAGTTTAAGGTCTATAAAGAATTTTTTATCGGCCACAATACTTTAAGTCAGAGCCTAATCACAGATGGTCCTAACTTAAGTTCTGTGAGGTCTGAGAGGTGAGTGGAAGAGGAAGAGAGTGAAGTCAGCAGACACTGCTTACTGACGTTTCAGGAGAGAAGCTTTGAACACGGAGTGAAAGGCAAACTGGCAAGTGCCTGGGCAGAAGTGCAGAAGCTGTCCAGGCGTTTTGGCTAAGATAATTGGTGAAGTGGCTCCACCCCACAATGAATTGTTATGGGGATGAAACTCTCCTGTGTTGGCAGACGGTCCTATCCAGGGCTTTCCTAGCTAGAGATAAGACAATTCTTGACAGCAAAGGATAGAGAGACTTTCCTGTGAGGGGTTAACATAGCTGATGCCTTCTAATTGCTCATCTACCATTCTCAGAAACTCAGAGTCCTTCAGGACCTAACACTGCTTGGGCTCTGTAAATGGGGAAAAAATCTGAATAACAGCACACTTGTTTATAATATGATTTACTGTTTCTCTCCACACCCATCACACTTGCTGGAGATTGAACTCAGAGCCCTATGTTGCTAAGTTTACACACTGCCACTGTAGGGTGTAAGAGTTTCT